TATTTACAAATGGTGATAAATCGTAATTAATCCACAGCTACCCTGTGATTAATCTGATTAAAATTTTTAATTGTTTGACAGTCCTACCTCTTTTACAAACTAACTTCATTTTTCAACCATGAAATTGTAGTCTCAATTTTTTTTGTCTATTATAGCCCAGCCAGAAGTCATGTTGCGGGTGGTCATGGAGTAAGAAGTACTTTAAGTGGGACCTCTGACAGTAATAGTATTTGGTTAATCACTACAGGCGCCAGCACAAAATCATAACACTTGGACGGCATGTTAACAACCTGGCACTCCCTGATAACTATGAACCCCTGCCCCATCACATGTGGCTGGAAGACACCAGCACAGCAGCGTCAACATTAAATTAAATGTTCCAACAACAGAGCACATATGGGGAAAAATCAATGAGCCAGTTGGACACAGTAAAACAGCCAGGGTCAGTGGCCCAATAAACACAGAGACACACATTTAGTCAATTGTGTTTCAGGGAATGTGTGAGGAGAGTGTTGTCTGTGTGTCGCCCCTGATGTCCTGATATCTGCTTAGATTTTATGAAAGACATTAACTATATGTAAATATTATTTGCAGATAAACCAGGTAGGATGGAGACGCTTTCTAACATCCCTCTGCACCATAGGCTGTTTATAAAAAAAGCTCTGCACACAACATCTAGCACACAAACAGAAAAATAAATAAAGAGTGACAGTATACTCACTGATGACAAGGAATAATTCTGATGTAGCTCAGGAGCTTATCAAAGAAACACTCTTTTAATGATAATGTACATGTATAATTCACAAGATGGAAAGAGGAGATAAAACAGAGATCGTGAAGAGCGTTTCATCTCTCTGAGACCAACTGTGATTTGTGAACATGGGCTCTACAGATAACATTCGATTTATTGAGAAATTGATCATAATTCCAGAAATCTCTGTCTGTCACAGATCTGTGTACAGCAGCTTCAGCGCTCTGTGGTCTGACTGCAGTCGTGTTTTGAAAATGAAACAGAAGTTGTTATTTTTCAGTTTCTAGCATTGTCTTGTTTTGATTGGACTCTATGGTTGACTCCGAATGGCTGTGCCAGCTTCTTTTTGTCTCTCATTTCTCTTTCGGTGAGCTGCAGGTTAGCTGTCAACCAGAAACCTCTGAAACGTCACTTCTCCATTAGCTTCATCTCCCTGCACTGGATCCTCAGCACACCCGGCCATATAGTGTGTGTGTGTGTGTGTGTGTGTGTGTGTGTGTCTACACACTAATGAATGTTTACATCAGATGCTGCGAGCCTGAGTGGGCGTTAACTTGAGACCTACAGTACATTCCTTTCTAGTTAAGTGTTTGCAGCTCATCTTTTCCGTTTCACTGTTTTCACAGTAATTATGGAGGTTTCTCCAGCAGCTGCTCTAAATCATATCTGTGTACATAAAGCGGATGAGAGGGTGAAACACGCACAGTGCTTAGTGTTGTTTGTTACGCTGAGAGCTGGCCTCTGCTCTGCACTGCACTCACAACGCATTCTTTGTTTCACCTGAGAGGAGTCGCTAACATGAATGACTGTGACTGACTGACTGACAGAGGAATACCATTGTTCGGCTACAGGCCGCATGACTGTTTGATGACGGACTAACCGTGGAGTTACCCCACTGACCTCTCTTCATCGCGAAAATGGTTATTATCATATGACATCATCTAGTGACATTTTGAGCAGGATGCAGCTATTTTCCATTGAAAGGAGTTGTTAACAGTTTTTAACTGCGTCCTTGTTTCACTATGCACAGTCCAGCCACAGTGTCATCCCTAATATTCTTACAGTCCATATTTAATGAATTTTGATTTTGTCTGTCTTTGTCTGTCTCCGTGTCTTCATTTTCTTTTGTGGAACTCTCTTAATGCTCTCATTAAGAATTAAGCCGGAAAAGCTGAAATGAACTTGTATCCTTTTTTTCCATCGTCCTTTCAACCCATGCAGTCATAAGCTGCTTTCAGACTTGAAACTCTGGAGATCCTCCAGACTTTTTCTGGAGGGGCTGTATGTGTGAACACAAATGTCCTAGTGAGAGCCTCTGGAGTTTCTGTGGACTTCGACACAACAGTAGGATGAAACAGCGGTGTCATGCACATAAAAGACAGAAATGTCAAGAGAGCTTTTGGTGATGAGAGCCGACATCATTGTGTGCCCCTGCCTGCTGCACCGCCTGAATCCTCTTGAGATTTCTGTTTTGTTGTGAAGGCACCTGAGCAGAGTTTCTCCTGCTGGGTTGTTCATGTGTGAGAGGCAAACTGATGGAGAAAGTCCGGACCCAATTCTCCAGACATGGTCATGGACAGGTCGTGTCTGAAAAGTTGTGTGTTGAAACTCTATCCCAATCATCATAGTATATATTTATATTTAAATGATTTTTTGAGTTCCTATACAAATAAAATGTATTATTATAATTATTATTCACATTTTCAAACTAGTTGAACTAAAAAGCTTAGTCATGTCTGGGGAGATCAACCAGGTTTATCTCATCATTGACTTAAAGATCATACATGGGCATTGTCTTGTTGCATTATGAGTATTGTATTGTATTGTATGAGTAAAAGCTCCTGCAGCTTTGTGGTCTTATTTAACTTTTTCAAAGTGCAATGCTTCGATGCTGGAGTTCAGTGTGTAAGATTTAGGTGAAAAGAATATATTGGCAGAAATTGAATATAAAATAATCCTAGTGATGTTTTCACTAGTTTGTGATTATCTAAATTGTTGTTTTCTTTACCTTAGAATGAACACTTTATATTTAAATA